AACGCAAGTAGACTAGGTGGTTCCAGATTGTGAAAAGAACCATGAAGGAAAGAAAACAGGGAGAGCTGGTGGTGACTGTGAGCCGGTTGGCTCTTTCAGATTGGGTGGCCAGGGAACTTCTCTCCCCTCCTGGAGGGGTTGGGGGGGTGATATCTAATGAAAAGGAGCCAGCTTTGAAAAGACGTGGGAAAAGTAGATGACATGCAAAGGTCCTGAGACAGGCTGGGGCCTAGCCTCTTGGAGGCCCAGCAGGTGGCTATCTGGCCATGTAGATGGTGAGGGAAAGGCAGGGGCAGGATCACATAGGGCCTTGAGGCCATGGAAGGGAGTTTGGATTTTATTCTGTGTGGCAGGTGAAGCGTTTTGAGCAGGAGAATGATGTGATTGACTCTTTTGCAAGGACAACTCTGGCTGTTTCTGGGAGGACTGGAGATAGAAAAGAGGGACCTCAGGGAGACCTGTTGGAGCAGTACTTTTCAATCACAGATGAAGGTTTATTAGTGAGTGGCGCCTGGCTGGCTCAGTCGGTGGAGCATGCAGCTCTTGATCTCGGGGGGATGAGTTCGAGCCCCACATTCAGCATAGAGATTACTTAAAAAAGTACCTTTTGGGGCGCCTGGGTGGCTCAGTCGTTAAGCGTCTGCCTTCAGCTCAGGTCATGATCTCAGGGTCCTGGGATCGAGCCCCACATCGGGCTCCCTGCTCCGCAGGAGGCCTGCTTCTCCCTCTCCCACTCCCCCTGCTTGTGTTCCCTCTCTCGCTGTGTCTCTCTCTGTCAAATAAATAAATAAAATCTTTAAAAAATAAATAAATAAATAAAAATAAAAAAATACCTTTTATTAGTGAGATGTGAAATCACTTTGGAGGATTGTAACCAGCATGTTAATTTTAATGAGTGAGGGTAGAAAACCTCACTGCCTCACATCTAATAGGGGCAGTTAAGCTTGTGTGAAACCTTGGTTTAGTTCCATAACTGTGTGTATGTACTGGGTCGTTTCTGTGGAGTGGATTTCTTACTATAGGTCTTAGGCTGAAAACTTGGAAAGCCACCGAGTTGGATGATGCTGGCGGGGAGGATGAGGGGAAGTGAGAGCCCTGCTTTACCCTAGTCGCGTGTACCATCTGGAGGGAGGAGCCACAGCTCCAGGTACCTCATCGTCCCCGAGCTCCTCAGTGACTGGGGGAGGGGTTGGCAGAGCCCACCAAGAGCTGAGAAAGCCAGTTTCTCAGGAATGATTGCGTCTGGGGAAGCTCCCAGGCCACACCTCTTTGTACATATGACCTGTTCCCTGACTCGCGTGCAAGTCCCCAGTGTCTCGGTTGTCCGCGGAGCCGGCTGGAGAGGAGCTAGGTGCTCGCCGTGCACCTGTGACCCCTGGCGGTCAGTGCAGACGGGAGCCCGGGGGCTCTGCCATCCATCCCCCTCTCTCTGGGCAGGAGCACGCACCTCAGACTGTCAGTTTAGGGCTTCTGGTTTTCATCCAGTCTTCAAGCCCTAACCCCTGGGGCAGCTGGCTTCCCTCTGGTTTGCCTTCTTCCTCCACATCTTCCTCCACTCAGAAATCTTTGGTAGCTCTCTGTTAAATAGCCTCCTGTGGTCCCATTTCTTCTGTGGTCCCATGTATGGAGTGCCTGCTGCGGGCTCGGGGGTACAGCAAGGGACAAAACGGACCAGAATCTCTGCCTTCGTGCAGCTTACTGCTTAGTGGCAGTGGGGATGGGGACAAAATGATAACAGAGCTGTGGTGGTGCGTGCTTTGGGGACAACTAGAGCCGGGAAGGGAGCTGGGGGAGGGTGTTGCAATTTTGGATAGAGTAGGCAGGGCAGGTCTTAGTGATGAGGTGACATTTGAACAAAAACCTGGAAGAGGTGAGGGAGGGAGCCATGAGGCTCTTGGGGTAGAGCAGTTACCAAGGCCCAAGGTGGGGGGAGAGGAAGGAAGGGGGCCTGTGGGAGATGAGGTCTGAGAGGCAAAGGGGTGGTGGCGGCATAAAGACTTGAGCTTCTGTCCTGAGTGGGATGGGAGGCCGTTGAAGGCAGAGGCGTGGCAAGCCCTGATGTGGCTTCCAGAAGGATCACTGGCGCTGGCCGTGGGATTGTGCGAAGATCGGAGGGCCGTTGCTGTCGTGCAGGCAGGCAGTGGGGCTGGCTGGACGAGGGGGGTGGCAGTGGGGGGGGCCAGATCCCAGACCTGCCTTCAGGGTGGAACTGACAGGAGTTGCTGGTGTGAGGTGAGGGGGGCAGAGGCATCAGGGATGAGGCCAGCACCGGGGCTGAGCAGTCAGAGTTTGGAACATGTATCTGGAACGCCTGAAAGGACTTCGGGTGGTACAGCTCAGGCAGAGGGCTTAGATGACCTTGAATCTCACCCATGGTGAAGGTATTACGCCCTTCTAAATATTTAATTACTTGGATGTTAAGTAGATAAGACCAAAATCATGATGGTCTTACCCAGAACTAGAGGCCTGGGGGCTGCTGGGATTCTGAAGGTACCCACATGACCATCCCCTTCCTGTGGGAATATGAAGAGTCAGCCCAGCAGACTGACTTCCCCTCTGCCATGGAGACCTGCGGCCTTCTCCCCTCCAGGCTTGAGGTGTTGCCAGTCACCTGGGGTCCCTCCTGCTGTCTGGTGTCATGGCTTGTCCAAATCCTTCTCTCCTTCAGGGCCCAGCCCAGATGCACCCCCTCCTCCCGGCAGGAAGGCCCTTCCCTTCCCTCTGAGCTTCCTGACCTGTAGCTGTTACCTGAAGTCAGATGGCCTGGCTGGCCTGGTTTTGAAGCCCGGTGCGTCATCTGGCCTGTTCTGTGGCTCTGGCTAGCTCATGCACGGCGTCCCCGAGTTCCAGTCGCCCTTCGATAATGGGGAGAGTCAGGCCACCTTGCAGGGTTGGTGTGTTGAATACATTAAAGTCTGTGAAGAAGGTCATTTTGTGTCGCACACACCAAACAGGAAAATCCTCTCACACGAGGTCGGGCTTAAAGTCTGCTTGAAAGTCAAGTACCAGAGACAGAGCCCCCACAGACAGCCTTGGGACTGCTGGCTCTTTCTGCTGGACGTCAGACTCTTCCCTAACGCTTCCCTGTGGCCCCCAGTCAGCGCTCGAATATTTGCATCATGGCTGTGGACCAGCCAGCCTCCATCCCCCTGCCTGGCAGTGACCTCTTTTCTGTGCATGGTCGCAAAACCCTTAAAGCTGGTCATTTATTCTTTCCCACGGGTGCAGCCGACGTGTGCCGCCTCGGGTCCACCTGTTTGTACCCTCTGTTTGGTGGTTTTTCCCTCTTGTTTGGTTCTGGCCACTGGGGTCTAGAATTGGCCGTCTGTTGACTCCAGGGAAGATGTAGAAAGAAGGTCACTTGCTGTTTGTCTCAGGCTCTCCCCTCCCAGAGCAGGCCCGTTGCAGCAGAGGCACCCAGGGGTGTCGGCGGAATGGCTGGCTGACGTTTCAGGCCTCTTGCTGTCCCTTGCAGATTGAGTCTGAGGATCGTGCGGCTGGCTCCCCCCTAGTATGGCCAATGAAGAGGATGACCCAGTCGTACAGGAGGTAACCGCTGCTCCCTACCATCTGCCGGGGCTGCCGGGGAGGAGAGCCCAGGCCCAGGGCAGCAGGAAGCAGGGCTGAGGCCCTTCCATCCATCCTTGGGCCAGCCTGGAACCTGCTGGCATCCCAGGGACCCCTAACCAGGCTGTTCCCTCTGCCTGGAACCCTCTTCCTCCAGATAACTGCCTAGCTGAGCCCTTCACTTCCTCCCAGTCTCTGATCCAGCATTTCCTTGTCAAAGAGGATTCCCTGACCCCCCCGCCTCGTGTGGCGCTCTCCTGTTCACCCCCCCCGGCACCCCCAAGCCCCTTACCTTGGCCACGCCCTGTGCTTGATCATAACCCTCCCCATCCCCTAAACATAATCTCCTTTCACTAGAATGTAAACTTCACGAGGGAGGGATTTTGTTCTTCACCACTGTGTCCACAAAGCCAAGTTCAGTGCCTGTCACTTCGTAGATACTCAGTGACTATTTGTTGAATGAATGAATGGGTGTGACAACTCCCCCTTCTTCCTGGGCCTACCCAGAAGTCATTCAGCAGTTGTTCACTGGATCTACTGTGTGCTGGGGGCTATGACAGCAGTGAGCGAGCAAGGCAGTGTCCCGCCCTCGGGACGCTTAGGATCTGACAAAGAAGGAGACCCAAGATGCAGATGGTGGGGAGGTAGGTTCCAGAGTCCGCCCAGATCCAGACACATCCTAGAGCCTCTGGGCCTTTGCACATGCTGCCCCCTCCACCTAGACTGCCCTTCACACAGGCTTCGCCTGCGCTGATGCCCTTCACTCCTCCTTAAGGCCTGGTGGTGGGAGAGAACATGGTTCATATGAAGAGCCGGGAAGCAGGGAGGTAAACTGCTGCACGGTGGGTCAGGGGCGGTTAGTGTTGAGAAGAAAGAGTTGGGCCAGATCATTCTTAGAGGGGCTTGCAGACCACCTGAAGGTGGTGTGACAGGTCAGTCCAGGGTAGGTGGTGGAGGGCACAGGGAGGAAGGGCAGGCAAATGGGTAAGCTCTCCTCTGTCCCAGCCTCATCAGGAAAGCATTTAATCGGGCTCTGGGATGCATCCTGATGTGAGCAGCCCCGGGGAAGGCACATTTTTATTGGGTTGTAGTGGACCTAGGAGGGGGCCAGGAACTCTTGTCCTGGTCCCCCTGAGAGCCATAGAGGGAGGCTGGAGACTCGGTTCCCTCTGTTTCTAGCAGGAGCTGAGCTCTTCCCCCTCCCCCGCACTCCCTGTAGGAGCCACGACCCCTGACTGACATCCAGGGAGCAGGGGCAGGCCAGGGCAGGCCAGCCACCTGTCTGTCTCCTGTTTAAGTCTTCTTCCCTTTTTCCCAGATCGACGTGTACTTGGCCAAAAGTCTGGCAGAGAAGCTCTATCTGTTTCAGGTAATGATGAGACCAGAGGGCAAAGGGGCCACCTTGAGCATGGGGGTGGGGGGTGAGGGGCGCTGGGAAACCTCAGCCTCGCTTAGGGTTCTGGGCACCAGAGTGTGGGACAGGGGGTTTCTCTTTGCTCTTGTGGGTGGGCAGGTTAATAGTCTCTCATTTTGAAGATGGGAAAACCAAGGCAGCCGTGAAAGGCAGAACAGTGTTGTGGTTCTGGGGCTCTGGGGCCTGGCAGCCGTGTTGAGGCCCAGCTCCATCATGACTTAGCTGTGAGCCCTGGGCAAGGTCCTTGAGCTCTCTGTGCCTCTGTTTCCTCATTTGCAAAATGGTGGCAGTTATACTACCTGCCCTGTAGCGCCCCGTGGGGGTTGGATGAATCCATCCAGAGTGCTCAGAACGTGGCCCGGCCCAGAGCTCAGCTCCACAGTCTGTTTTCGGACAGTTTGGTCCCATGTCCCCCATTGCTGCCTGCATCCCGAGGCAGCTGTTAACCTGTTTTCTCACTGTATGGATTTGCCTCTTCTGGACATTTCGTGGACACGGAATCGTGGCATAGCTGGCTGCTTTTAACTCGACATCGTGGTTTCGAGGCTCACTCGTGGTCAGCATGTATCAGTACCTCCTTCTGTTTTATGGATGAAGAGGACTCCGTGGTGTGGTTCTGTACAGCACATTGTGTTTGTGCGTTGCTGGCTCTTTGGGTCGGTTCCACTTTGGGGCTATTATGAACAGTGCGGCCGTGGGCATCCCACACAAGTTTTTGTGTGGACAGGTGTCCTTTCTCTTGGGCACATCCCTGGGAGCGGAATTGCTGGATCCAATGGAAACACTAGGTTTCATGTTTAAAGGAACGGGCAGATGGTTTGCATTTCCAATAACAAGGTTATAGTTGTAAGTATTTTGTCTCCAGGTTGCATGTGAGAAGGTGAGGCGCAGGGAGGCTAGCCACTTGGGCACGGGGCCCAGGACGGGGCAGCAGTGGGGGTACTCCAGATGTGAGCTGGGAAGAGGCCCCGGCATCCCCCTGCCCTCTGCCCCCGGGGTCTGCCTTTACAGGCTGTGGGGCTGGGGGCCTGTCCTTCAGGCCTTCTGAACTGGTTTCCTCGGCTGCCTGCAAAATGGTGGGGAGCTGGTGGTGGGGACGGTGACCCCATATGTGTTCACGGTGGGCCAGGCCCTGCGGTGTCTGCTCTCTTTGCCTCACTCCCCGCCCCCAGCAGCCCCGTGAGGTGAGGACACGCACGTTTGTGGTGAGGAGCTGGCCCAGGTCCACACATTGCAAGAGGCAAAGTTGGGACCGGAACCCAGGCCTGATTCCAGAACCTTGCCCTTTACCACCAGCCGTCCCAGCCTGAGATCAGGAGATGGCAGAGCTGCCAGGGCTCAGGCCAGACCAGTCAGGCTCCAGACTGTTCGTCCTACTGCTGCCATAAGCTCTGGCCCAGGAAGCGAGGAGGAGTCGCTGTGTTGCTACCTGAGTGAGCTTTTAGGAAGTCACCGCTGCCTCGGGCTGACACGTAGCAGATCTGAGAGGGCCGCACACAGAGGGTTCAGTGCACACGCTGCCGTGCCTCCAGCAGCTTCTCCCAGAGGCTGTCATGGTACGGGCAGCGCCGGCCACAGCTTCTCAACTTCACGCATGGTGACACTGAGGCCCAGAAGGGACTGAGTGGGTCAGTGGCAGTTTTTATTACGGAAAAGTTTACAGGGCAGCGGAGAGAGAATGGGGTAATGAATTCCCGTACACCCGTCCTCCACCCACAGCATGTCACCGGTCAGGTCTTCGTCTGTGCTGCCCATGGTCTTGTGTCCCTTGTCCCCTGCCTGGATGTCCTCTGCCTGATCCTCACTCTTGCCTCCCCGGCAGGACTCGTGGGTTACCAGAGGGGGGCCTGTGTGGGTTCCTGATGCTTAGGCTTGTCCCTCGGAGGTCAGAGACCCTTGAAAATTGCCTTTTGGAAGGAAGCTGGGTGGAGCCGGTATGAAGGCGACACAGGCGGGGACCAGCGAGGACCTCTGGTCTCTGCTTGGTGTTGATTCTTGGCTGGAGCCTGTGAGCCCAGCTCTGGGCTGGGCCGGGCCGGGCCGGGCTGGGCAGGGTGGACTGACGGCTCCCTTCCCCTCCCCAGTACCCTGTGCGTCCAGCCTCGATGACCTATGATGACATTCCACACCTCTCAGCCAAGATCAAGCCCAAGCAGCAGAAGGTGGGGCTGCCCTCTGATGGAGGTGGAGGAGGGGAGGGCTGGTACAGGTGGGGGCTGATGCAAGTGAAGAGGAGACGGGCCCTTTGGGGACTAGAAGCCCAGAGAAGGAGCGATTGGAGGGTTGAGAGGAGAACCAGTTGCTTGCAGAGCCTGGAAAGCTGAGGAAGGGAAGTTTCCAGAAAGAAAGGGAGTAAAGCAGCTCCAGAGAGGCCAGAGGAGAATAAGGCTCGGGATGAGTTCGAGACTGGGAATGGGGGGCTCATGTTCACAGGATAAGGCAGGCACTGACGTGCAGCAGCTCTGATGGGCTCGAAGTGCCTCGAAGGGATGGGGTGATAGGGGCTGGGAGCGCTAGACACGTGTCTTGTCCAGGGGGTGGCTGTAGCTCCAGCCCCCCATTGCCCCCCATTGCCACTTGCAGTGACTTTTCAAGAGAAGTTGGAAATGAGGATTTTTATGAGAAAATCTCTTGAATTTTAAATGTTGGCACCTAATTTAGATTTTGGAGGGTAGAATGGGGAGGACAAATAGAATTACATGACCCCACCCCGCCAAAACACTCTGGCTTTTCTGTTGGAATTGGGGTTTGTGACCTTTGATGTGGACTGAACCCCGGGGGCCCTTAGGGAGCGGTGTGTGTCGGGCCTGCTTCTGAGCAGGGCTGGGATTGGCAGGGACAGGGGTCAGGACTTGGCTGTGGCCAGGTTGGGGGTATCTTTGAGTTCCTCATAGCTGCTGGGGGTGCTTGATGCCTGCAGGTAGAGCTTGAGATGGCCATCGACACCCTGAACCCCAACTATTGCCGCAGCAAAGGGGAGCAGATCGCACTCAACGTGGACGGCGCCTGCGCGGACGAGAGCAGCACTTACTCCTCGTGAGTCCCCTGGGCCCAGCCTGCAGGCTTTGGTGCGCTCCAGTAAGAGCCTTCCAAAGGCCTGTCCGACACCTGGGCCCTGGTGCCCCATTGCTGGGCTCCCTCCCAACATCCCAGCTTCACATGCTTGGACCTGGCGCAGCCCTGCCCTGTGGCAAATGTCTTCCCTTCTGAGAGGCCCCTTGATGGGAGTGGGGGCTTGACCCACCACCTGTCCTTGGGCTACAAACAGGGACTTGGGTTTTCTCCTCCCCGACTTCCCTCCTGAGGCCCACATATGCTGAGGTGGGGCCTTGATCCCTGTTCCTGGGTATTGAATTTCAGGAGGTGTCTGGGGTGGGGGGGCCGGTGTCTGCCATGCCCTGGGTCTGGAGCTTCCTTCCCCTTGACGTCTGTTCTCCCTGTGCTCCCAGGAAGCTGATGGACAAGCAGACGTTCTGTTCCTCCCAGAGCACCAGCAACACAGCCCGTTATGCTGCCGCGCTCTACAGACAAGGTATCCGTGCTGGGCAGCCAGGCTGCCGTGGCTCCTGGAGGCTGCTTGGGTGCGAGGGAAGCGGGAGGGAGGCTGGGACGGCGGGAGGCTGTCCCTAGCCTGGTACCCAGCTTGCTGCTCCCCGAATGCCGGATGCCTGTAGGGGCCAGGCAGGTTGTAGAAATGGCATTGTCAGGGGGCTGGAATAGGCCACCTCTAAGGACTTCCGGCTTTGGTGCTGTCTGACCTGATAGAGGGGGTGCTTCCAAGGTCCCTGTCTCCTCCTGGGACACAGACATACACACAGCGTAACTTTTGAGACAGGTGGGAGGATTTTGTTTTAAATACAAGGTACTTGCGGGGCTCCTGGTGGCTCATTCAGTGGAGCATCCGACTCTTGATTTCGGCTCAGGTCATGATCTCAGGGTCGTGGGATCAAGCCCCATGTCAGGTTCGGCGAGGTTCTGTGCTTAGTGTGGAGCCTGCTTGGGATTCTCTCCCTCTGCCCCTCCTCCCACTCACTTGCTCACGCTCCCTCTCCCTCCCTCCCTCTCAAAAAAAAAAAAATACAAGGTACTTACGCATGAGCAATTTTACTTAGCATCTCCCCAAGAGAAGTGAAGCGTCTATCCACACAAAACTTGTACATGGATGTTCATAGCAGCATTATTCACAGTAGTGAAGAAGTAGAAACAGCCCATAAGTCTGTCAGCTGACGCCTGGATAGCCAAGTGCACTACGGCCATGCAGTGGAATGTTATTTGGCCACGGGAAGGAATGAAGTACTGATACACCCTCTAGTGGGCATGATGCTCAGCAGGCCACATGTTGTCGGAGTCCATTTAAATCAAGTGTCCCGAAGAGGCAAATCCGTAGAGACAGAAAGCGGGTAGTAGTTCCCCATGGCTAGGAGGAATGTGGAATGGGGAGTGACTGAGGATGGGTTCAGGGTTTCTTTCTGGGGAGATCAAAATGTTCTTTGGGGGGTGGGGGGCAGAGGGAGAGAGAATCTCAAGCAGGCTTCACGCCCAGTGCAGAGCCCGTCAAGGGTCTCGATCTCACGACCCTGAGATCATGACCTGAGCCGAAATCTAGAGTCGGACACTTAAGCGACTGAACCACCCAGACACCCCTGAAAATGTTCTTAAATTGATTGTAGTGTTGGTTGTACAGCTCCAGGAATATATTAAAATACATTGACTAGTATGCTTTAAATTTTGTATGGCACGGGAGTTATATTTCAATAAAGCCATTAAAAAGTAAGTATTTAGAGTTCATAAAGCAATAAGTAAAACTAACTTGAACACTTAGGAAACAAACTAGAAAAGACTCAAAAGTAGTATCAAATAACTATACTTCTTTTTTGAACCCATGTCTCACGCCTTGCAGCTGGGACCGTTTGTTTCTTTCTTTGAATTAATTAATTTTTATTATGGTAAAATGTACATAACATGAAATTTACCATTTTAACCTTTTTTTTTTTTTTTTTTAAAGATTTATTTATTTTGGAGAGCACACTCCCAGGGGGCGGGTGGCAGGTAGGCAGAGGAAGAAGAGAATCTTAAATCTTAAATCTCCGCTGAGCACGGAGCCTGACACGGCACTCGCTCTCACGGCCCTGAGATCACGACCTGAACCGAAATCAGCTCGGACGCCTGCCAGACTGTGCCACCCAGGCGCCCCTCATTTTGACCATTTTTAAGTGTGCGGTTCGGTGACATTTGAGGGCATTCATGTTGGTGTGCAGTAGTCACCACCACCCGTCTCCAGAACTTGTGCCCACGTGGTCGTATTCTTCTGTAGCCAAACTTACCTGTCCTGTCTTTTTCCTTCTGAATCTCTGGTCTTGGTTTTTAGGATTCTTTCTCCCATCCTAGGTTGATACAAAGATTCTCCTTGTTTTTTTTCTGGTATTTATAGTACTTTATATAAAAATTTTTTAACATTTCTGAAAATTATTCTTGTATGTAGGGTGGTAAATGATTCTTTTTTTATTTTTTAAATTCCAGTATAACGAACAGACAGTGTTATATCAGTGTCGGGTGTACAACAGAGGGAGTCAGTGATTCTGTACCTGACTCCGTGCTCGGCACCATAAGTGTACTGTGAATCGCCATCTCCTAGTTCACCATTCCCCCCACGCACTCCCCTCTGGTGACCATCAGTGTGTTCTCTGTAGTTAAGAGTCTGTGGGTTCTGTGCTTTGTGTGTATGGTTTGGTTTTGTTTTGTTTTAAGTAGGCTCCACGCCCACCCAGAGTGGGGCTCAGGCTCATAACCTAGATCGAGGGTCGCATGCTCTACCAACAGAGCCAGCCAGGAGCCCCGAATCTTTTTCTGTGTGTGTGCTTTTTTTTTTTTAACCCTGTTCTTTTGTTTCTTAAATTCCACATATGAGTGAAATCATATGGTATTTGTAGGACCATTTGCTTCTTTACTCCTGACTGCGAGCATCCCGCTCCCTCTGGAGTCCAGAACGCTTTCACAGAGCCACTTACCAGAGCCTTAGCGTGTGATTTCTTCTCTTTCAAGCCCACACTGACTTGAGAGAAATTGATGGTCTTTGCACTGCCTCCCAGTGCACACGTTTCACTCACGAGGAAAAGTCACGATCCTCGTCCAGGACTGTGTAGACAGTCCTCCAGCTGGCCCCGCCAGGGGCCATTCCTCCAGCCACATTTGTGCGGCCGACTTCTGAGCGGATTGGGTGGGGTTTTGACGAGCCGAGCTGGAGGAGGAGAGGCAGTCTGTGTGGGGAGGGGGCGGTGGGCATCGAGGGTGTCTGGCAAAGGCCCGGCGGGGAAGAGAGGCCGTGTTTGGAGCGGAAATGTTGCCGTGTGCCACAGCAAGCAGCTGGGGGAAGGGGGCGGCGACCAGGGTCGGAAAGGCCTTCGATGCTCACGGGGGAGGGTGTGCAGGCAGGCTTCAAGAAGTGGCTTTGAGCAGAAGGGTCTGGGTTCGTGTCCTACTGTAGCTGTGTGCTCACTGGGCCAGGTGGGGTTGGGAAGGGCCGTGGGCCTGGTGGTGCCAAGGCCCTGAGACTGGGGGCTAGAGCGGAGGTGGCAGGTGGCCTGGCGGTAGGCCGAGGCTTTTGGGGGAGTGCAGGGCCCTTTGTGACTGCTGTGAGCCAAGCTGGGTGGGTTGGCCCCAGTTCCCAGAGTCAGGTCCAAAGCCTTCTTCCTCTGCCAGGTGAGCTGCACCTGACGCCTCTTCATGGCATCCTGCAGCTGCGGCCCAGCTTCTCCTACCTGGATAAGGCGGACGCCAAGCACCGGGAGAGGGAGGCGGCCAATGAGGGTGAGCTCTGGACCCCTAGCCCTTCTGTCTGTCTGCATCTTGGCAGGGATGGGTGGGTCATGGGAAAAACTGCAGGGGGATGGATTCCAGGACGCTTAGCAGCATCTCTGCTCTACCCACTGGATGCCGGGAGCACTCACCTGCACAGTTTTGACAACCAGACGTGGCTTTCTACATTCCCAAGTGTCCCCTCGTGGGCAAAATTGCCCCCGGTTGAGAAGAGCTGACTTGGCCAACGATCCCCGTCTGGGAGAATTCCCAGATGCCCCTGCCTGAGGCCTTCTGGGGAGTTGGGGCTCCACCAGAGGCTGCAAGCAGTGTCCGCTTTCTCTTGCAGCAGGAGACTCTTCTCAGGATGAGGCGGAAGAAGACGTGAAGCAGATCACGGTGAGTGAACTCTGGCCCCGAGGAGAGGGAGGGTGCCGCCTGGGCGGGGGGCAGCGGGCCGGCTTTGTAGCTCCGCTGCCCGGACGCAGCTCGGGGTGGGAGGGGCCGTGCAGAACCCAGGCTCTGGGGGTGAAACAGATACCGAAACGGTCCCATCCTTCAGAGCCTTCCTGCTGGGCAGCCTGGAGGAGTAACCTGTCCTGCGCCCACCCTGACCTGTCCCAGCTGTTCACAGGATAGCAGCCTGGGGCTTGGCTGGAACTGGAATTGCCTGGGAGGAGGAAACTGGGGGCCTAGGAGGTCCAGGGAACTCGCACAGTCTGTGCCACGAAGCCCATGTCCTAGTGGAACGAAAACCCCATGTGCCTTAACCACATCATTCACTGTTCCCGGTGGTGTGCAGACCCAGCAATTCTATCTGAACACTAAGCCTGTATTCCAGACATGGTGAGAAGAATATTGACCTTCCATTTATGGCTTACCGAGTTTCCTCTGTGTAAGCATACGGAGGTTAAAAGGCGTATTTAAGGAAGAAAGCACAAATGGTGACACGGATGGCGTACGTATGTGGCTTAAGTTGTGGGCCTTTGCACGTCCTTGAAGATGGGCCGCTACCGACATGACCGCTGTGCGGTGGGGGTGCTCACCCTCTTCTCTCAGTAGCTTCTTGAATGATCACCCTCCTGCCCTCCTCGGGAACTCAATTGGCCCTCATTTAACAAGTTATCCTTAGGCCCGTGAACTTAAAGGACGCATATAGAATCCCAGGATTCTGTGGTACCTGGCTGGCTCAGTCAGCAGAATATGCAACTCTGAACCTCAGGGTTGTGAGTTCAAGGCCCATGTTGGGCATGGAGCCTACTTTAAAAAAAAAGGAAAAAAGAATCCTAGGGTTCTGTAATCCAGCCAACGCCCCCGTGGGGGTGTGCCCTTCATAGGGGAGGTGTCAGGGCTCGGTTCCATCAGGACGCTAAGCAGCAGAAACCCGGACCTACCTGGCATGAGCTCAAAATGGAATGTATTGGTCCCTGTTACTGAGAAGCTGAGGGGTAGCTTCAGGTATGGCTGGATTCAGGTGCTCAGACTCGGTCATCAAGACCTGGTTTCTCCATCTCCATCTCCAGGTTCCGCCTTCCTCTTTTGGCCTTTCTCAGGCAGGGTGTCTGTCCCCAGTGGTACAGAGTTATCCCCGCTCCAGGCTCACATCCTCCCAGCTTCCAAGACCCCAGGGGAAGAGAAACTTCTTTCTCATTACTTCTAACTAAAGTCCCAGACCGGACTCATTGGCTTGGCCAACCCTGAACCAGCCCCTGTGGCTAAGAGGATTTGGTGCTCGGATTGTCCAGGTCTGAGTCACGTGCCCACTCCTGTGGCTGGGAATGTGTGTGGGGGTGGGAGCAGGGGGAGGGCTATTTGCTCCCCTGAGCTGAGGGGGAACTGGGCATTTCCCCAAGGAAAATGGGGGGGCCTGTTAGCCGTGGGAGTGGAAATGGATTGGGTGCCGGGCAGGCAGAAGCATGAGAAAACTGCTCCCTGGCCTGTGTCGTCAGGTCACAGAGAGGGACGTGGTTGGAGCTGAATTTAAGAGATGTGTGTCTGGAAATGAAGAGGAGGTGGGAGTGCTGTGGGGCTCTCCAGTCTTCTCGTGGGGTGCAGTCCGGCAGCCCAGGATGGGGCCCGGGCCTGAGGCCACGACCCCCCTCCCAGGTGCGGTTCTCCCGTCCTGAGTCGGAGCAGGCCCGCCAGCGCCGCGTGCAGTCCTACGAGTTCCTGCAGAAGAAGCACGCCGAGGAGCCCTGGGTGCACCTGCACTACTATGGCCTGAGGGTGAGCCGGGGTCCCCGGGCGTGGCTGACGCTGGCCCTGGGCCGGGGTCCTGGGAGAAGAGCCCAGTCTCACCTTGAACTGGTGGTTTCAGATTCAGTGAGAGCCACTTGTGGGAGGGAGCCCCGGGTAGAGAGGGTAGAGTCCTGGGGATAGTTTGTCCCTTGTTCCAGCCGGTCTACTTAGCGTGAGTCCCAGGGGAGCAGGAGATTGAGAAAGGAGTCCACCGTTTCCTGGGTCGGGGTTTTCGGCATCCCCAGGCTCTCCTCAAGTGTGAGCTTCTTGCCGGCCCCAGGGTGGAGCTGGTGTTTGGTTACGGATTTTTATGCATCGTGGGTCCTGAATGAAAGCGCTCGATGGAGAACCGGCCATCTGTCACATGGCCAAGTCCGTGTATCTGCCAAGGGCACTTTTGACTATAGTTGGTTTTCATCTCGTGTGCTGACTTAGAACCCAATCCTTGAAACTGTATTGAGTAAGGGAAGCGATTGAATCGAAGCCAAAGGTGCCGTAGGGCTCCGCAACATTTTCCTGGGGGAGGAGCAACTCCTGATTTCTCTGGAACTTTCCTGAAAGATTCGTGTTGACTGAGCCTTAGAGTCAGACTTCCAGAAGCCGTGCTGTTTTCTGGTGTGTGACTTTATGCGAATTACCTAATGAGAGAAGTTGCTGTCTATAAGCAGCCATCGCACCAGAGCCCGGCACATAGTAGGTGCTCGGGGACCGCTGGCTGTTATTTCTACCGTTGCGGCTAATGGCCCTGTGTCCCAGGCAGGGCACCTAGGCATGGGTGCTGGGGCTGTTCGGTCGTAGAGCTGGAGATGGTTGGTTGCGGCCACCTCACAGAGGCCTTGAATGCCATGCTCAGGGGGCTGGATATGACCCTGTGGCCGACCTTGGGGCAGGACAGCGGGCGCCCGGAGGGAAAGGTGATGCCGGGGTGAAAACTGGACGGCAGAGGGGCTCGGGGCGGGGGGATGGCGCGGGCCTGGGGTGGTGGCTGAGGGTCCCCCCACCCTGCGCCTTCCCCAACAGGACAGCCGCTCTGAGCACGAGCGCCAGTACCTACTGTGCCAGGGTTCCGGTGGGGTTGAGAACACTGAGCTCGTCAAGTCACCCAGGTGGGACCGGCGGGCCAGGCCGTTGAGCCTGCGGGCTGCTGAGGCCACCACTGGCCCTGTGGTGTGGGGCCTTCCCGGGGACTGTGGCCCCTTCTCTAGCAGGGGACACGGACATGGGAGAGGGCCCTTCGTCCTCTGGAGAGGGTCGGGAGGGTGCGTGTGGCAGGAGATGGCCGTCCTTTCTCCGCAAGTTTGGGGGGAGCTAGGGAGCGTGGGTGTGGGTCTCTATCTGCCCCCCAGCCCCCGGCCCTCCCTTGGGGAGGCTCAGCCTAGGTGCAGTCTGGGTTTGTGGGCAGGGGTGGGGCAGGGCCAGAGCCCAGGAGCTGCTGACCCTGCCCTCTCCCCTGCAGTGAGTACCTCATGATGCTGATGCCACCCAGCCCAGAGGAGGAGAAGTGAGTAGAGTTGGGCCGGACGCCACCCCCACCCCAAATCCCCCCTCCTACCCTTGCTCTAACCCAGCGTCTCTGTTTTGAACAGAGACAAACCCGTGGCTCCCAGCAACGTCCTGTCCATGGCCCAGCTGCGTACCCTGCCCCTGGCTGATCAGATCAAGATCCTGATGAAGAATGGTGGGTGGACACACGCTTCCCCCAGGGGGACCCCAGCCCTACCACCTCCTTGGGAAACGGAGTGTGGGACAGACTAAGGACTGAGGGGCAAGGCCAGAGGCTCCCGCCACCCAGAGCCAGAGCATACCCAGCTTTACAGCTCTGGCCGCGTCTGGAAGGAACGCACTGCAGCAGTGGGGGGGGGGGCGAGGGGGGCTCCCTCAGTCGGGCTCTGGTTCCTGCCGCTCCCCTGCTATTGAGCCTGGGCCAGCCGCTGACCCCCCTGCGCCTAAGGAACTAGGAGAGCTCCTGGGGGCTGAGATGAGGCTTCTTCACGGCTTATACAGAGCCTTGCACGTGAACACGAGCTCCATTCGTTCACTTGGACTATCTTGGGGGGCCCGCACCAGGCTGCACACAGTAGGGACTGGTCCCCTTTGTCAGAGGACTCGGAGGGCCAGAACCTGTAGGGCAGATGTGAGCCCTGAACCTCAGAGCTGAGTCCCAGGCCCGGGCTCCTCTTCAGAGATACCACCTCCAGGGGCCTAAGCAGAGGGGAGCTCCCAGCTCTCCCTGGAGCTGCCAGGGTGCCGGGCCACTGGCCTAGCTGCAGAGGACATGGGGCCTACCCCAGGCCCTCTCTGGGCCCGGGTAGTAATGGTTTTGCTGTTTGTCTCCTCCCCCGCCCCCCCCCCCCCAGTAGGCGCCACGCCTAACGTGGGGCTTGAACTCATGACCCTGAGATCAAGAGTTGCATGCTCTACCAACTGAGCCAGCCAGGCGTCCCGTACTAGTCTTACCTTTAAGGAGCACCCCTTGGGGTGTTTGCTGCAGGATTCAGTGAGTGTGGGTTGCCTGCACAAGTAGCCAGTGGGGTCGACTGCCTTACTCACATGCTGGGGTGGTTGTGTGAGCCTGAAGCTGTATAGACTTGGGGGAGGGGAGGTTGCGGGGAAGGGCCCAGGCCCTCTTCCCTTGTCTGATGACTCCTGCATCCTCCTCAGTGAAGGTCATGCCTTTTGCCAACTTGATGAGCCTCCTGGGCCCTTCCATCGACTCTGTGGCTGTTCTGCGTGGCATCCAGAAGGTGGCGATGTTAGTCCAAGGAAACTGGGTCGTGAAGAGGTAAGTTCCTCTGCATGGGAGCATCTGATCCATTTAAATTCAACGTGATTACTGATGTTTTGGGTTTAAGTCTACCATAGCGCTGTCTGTTTGTTCCGGATTTCATATCCATTCTTACCTGCTACTGGATTCTTTTATTATTATTCCGTTTCTTCCTGCTAATTTGGAAGTTATTCTTTCTGGGCTCTCTTAGTACCCTACAGATTTCAGGGTGCATTCATAACTGATCACAGCTTAATATTAATTGCTGTGTTTTACCCTCATCCAGGACAATTCAAAGACCTTAGAATGTTTTATATTTATCTTCCTCCCAACTCATGTGCTGTTCTATTTATATGTTTTAGTTGTATTTTAAAACCCACAGGACATTATCGTATCCAGTCAGTATTCTTCAGATCTGCTCACATATTTACTTTTTTATTTTGCTCATCATGCCTTTCTGCATCTGAGTTTCTGTCTGGGATAATTACCTTCTGCCAAAAACCGCTGGGGTGTTTCCTCTAACGAAGCTCTGCAGGGGAGGGGTTCCCGTGGGTTTTGTATGGTTGGAAATATCTATTCCACTTCTGTTGTTAAAGGATATTTTTCCTGAGTGTAGAATTCGACATTGATTGTTTTCCTTCCACACACTGACAATGTCATTGCATTCTCATTCCCACTGTTTCTAGTGACGAGTCTACTGTCTTTATTCTTGGTTTCCTCTGGCTCTTTTTGAGCTTTTCTCTTGTGGCTTTCCACAGTTCATTAAGATGTGTCTGAGTGTGAGTTTCCTTTCACGTGTCCCGTGGGGTTCGGAGCATGTGGCTTGATGCCTTTCAGGAGTTTCTCTCTGTGATCCCTCCACCAGACTGTCACTGTCGGGGCGGGCAGGGACTTCTGTGTTGACCCTCCCTCACATCCCTGAAAGTCAGTATAATGCCTGGCACATCTTAGACCTTTGCTAATAAGTGAGGCTGCATTTTATGTTCACCTGGATTATGTTAATTTTAAATAGCGTAACATAAAATACACTAATAAAGACTTTTTAGAAAGTGTGGTGTAAGGTGAACGATCTGTCAAAATACGAATTGTTCCAAATTTTTAAGTACTTCATTGCAGAAACTCCGTTGGTTGGCCATGAATTGTGAAGGCTATTCACGCTGCTGCCACCTGGTGGCGCCCTTGCACCGGGAAACACACAAGTGCCCCATTACGGAAGGCCTTTGGATGGCGGTCACTCGCTAAATGGGACCCCCTAGGTATATTCATGCTACGGATGAGCGAGGACAGAGAGGCAGAGACTTGGCAAACGTCTGGCAGCAAGGCAGCCCCGGAGCTGGGGTTTGAGCTCTTGCCCAGGACCACCCGTGGCCCTGGTGCTTCTGCCCTTCCAGCCTGGGGTCTGTCCCAGTGACCTGAAGGTGGGGCCTCCCGGGCCGCGCGTGTTCGCTCTGCCCCAGTGCTTCGGGTCCGGCCGCGAGCCCTCGGGTCCTGCCAGTGGCCTGGGGGTGGTGCTCCTCCCTCGTCGGCCTCTTTGGGTTCCTGTGAGGAGATGATGCAGCACTCACACCTCGTTCACTAAATCTGGCTCCATGGCGCGTTCTGTGCCCCGTGCCCCGCTGTCATTCACGTGCTGTCCCCGTCCTCAGGAAATGTGTGCAGCGGGGGTGGGCACCGTTACAGATGAGCACCCCGAGAGCAGAGGTCTGGGGCGCGCGCCATGCTCGTCGCGCGCTCAGTACCGGCCGAGCAGCTCCCTTCCCTCGTGTGGCAGTGATGGTCCCTGTCCCCACAGTGTGTTTCTGGGAAGGGAGTGGACACAGAGCTCGAGCTGGAAGGAAGAGTATTAGCTGGTTGCCAGGTAGGATTGAGGAGGTGCGGAGAGAGGTCTCCCGGCAGAAGGAGTGGGTGCAGGAGAGTAGAGGCTCCTCGGGCACAGGATGGTCGGGGGGGTGTGTGTGTGTGCGTGTGTGTGCGCGTGCGTGCGTGCGTGCGCGCGAGAGAGACAGGGTCTGTGGCTGAACTTGGTCAAGGTTTTACTTGCAAGCCTCAGAAGCCGGCTCATTCGCCCCGGGCCCTGAAGGTCTCTGAGCTGGACTGCTGGTCCCATTCACTCCAAAGGCTTCAGCCCCACTCGTGCCTTGGGGCCCATCCAGGTCCCAGTCCCTGACCCCTCTTGCCCCCGCTCACACTGCCCACCCGTCCCTTCCGTCAGGTGGTGAGGCCTTGAGTCCTGCTTCCCAGCCGCTCTCCCTAGGCCTCACACCCGCCCCACCTGTGGGACTCGCTGTCTTCCCAGAGTCGTGGGCTGGCCTGTTTCTGAGCCCCTGCCCTTCCTGACTGCAGTGGGCCTCGGGGCTGGGCCAGTGTGTGCATGGAAGGTCGTGACGGGCTGGGAGGAGGGATTCTTGGGGGATAGGCTTCTCTTCTACGTACGTGTTCACAGAGCCAGGCTCCGCGGTTGGAAGGGCGGCCCCGAGGGCAGCTGTGCCGGCCGTGTTGGAGAGGCTGGGGCTGGGAGTGGGGCTGACCTGCTGCTCCTGCTTTCGTTGGCAGTGACATCCTGTACCCCAAGGACTCCTCCAGCCCTCACAGTGGTGTGCCTGCCGAGGTGCTCTGCCGGGGTCGCGACTTTGTTGTAAGTGCCCGGGCTCTCTGGCCTCTGGTCAGTGGGGCAGGGATCTGGGAGGGGGTGGCGGGCAGGGCAGTGGGAGGAGGGCAGGGGGTGGCTGTGGACCCTCTCTCTTTCTCCTTCGACTCAGAATCCTGGAGTCTTAGGCTTCATAATGGGGATTACAAGCCAGAGGCCCATAGGTGGACTCTAAGGAACATGTTTCATTTGGCCTGAGCAGGTTTTTTTAAATGTTCACTTGAATTAGTGTTTACGGTTCAAAATCCTGGTACAAACCAGATTTCTAGCTCGTTAACGAATAATTGGACAGTCTGGTACCACTGGGCCCAAACCCCTGAACGGCACCGACTTTGGGTGGGGGCTGACAGTGCCATCCCCCGCGGTCCCAGGCTGGCCTGCTTCTCTCGTACATTATTGCTGTGGGTTTGGCAACTCCTGAGCCAGCTTATTCCTCCACGCCATTGCCCTGTCCTCATCCAGTAAGTCCCGGCCCAGGCATCCCTCTCAAGGGCTTGAACCCCGGCTGCTGGAATCTGCACTGCCTCCCTTGAGGGAAATCGGTCTCCTAAGCTGTCCGCAGTGACCATGAAGTGCGCAGGGCAGCCCTTCAGCTGTTTGAGCGAGCGCCTGCGTTTTCTCCCTGCCTGAGTGGATGTCCCAGCTTCTCTGGACAGTTAGCGGCTAGGTGCCTCTGCACTTGATTTTTGTCTTGGGGCCAGAGTGCGGTGGATATCCGCCCCTGGGCTTGCTCACCGGAGCCCGTGTGCCGTTTGCCACCGCCTGCCAGCCCGTCTCGTTCATGCGGACGCTGTCAGCGGGGCCTGGGAGGGGGCGGCTGGTCCAAGCTCAGTTCTCGTCAGAGACGGTCTTCCCTCATCCCAGGCCCCCAGGACAGCTAGAGGTCTGGGGGATGGTCTTGGGAGCAGCCCGTCTTTGCATCCTAGAAACAGGCTGCCTTTTCTCCCTCAGATGTGGAAGTTCACGCAGAGCCGGTGGGTGGTGAGGAAAGAGGTGGCCGCCGTGACTAAAGTAAGTGCCGCTGTCGGTCGGAGGCCCAGGCCGTCCGGGTGGCTTCCAGGCTTTTGGGGCTCACCTTTGTCCTGCCCCCAGCTCTGCACGGAGGACGTGAAGGACTTCCTGGAGCACATGGCCGTGGTGAGGGTCAACAAAGGCTGGGAGTTCATACTGCCTTCCGATGGGGACTTCATCAAGAAACATCCAGATGTGGTCCAGCGGCAGCATATGCTGTGGACGGGCATCCAGGCCAAGTAAGGGCTTGCTGGCCAGGCCACAGCCACCTCGCCCCCCAGGCGCGCTGGGGCCCCGTGCACCCCTTCCTCCACTCCGGTGGGCGCTGCGGCTCGATCCCAGAACCTCCCAGCACAGGCCTGGCGCAGCCGACCCTGCTGATCAGAGCTGGCGTGTCTCTTCTGAGGGGCTGAGGGAGCAGGAGCCTGGGCTCCTGTGGGTCACCGCTGCCCGCCCCAGCCCGGCGGCTTCCGGTGGGCGTGGGGCCTGTGCGCGGTGGGGAGGGCCAGCCGGCTCCGTGCACATGGCATCTCAGTCACCAGGATGTCCCTGCCTCGACGGTGACAGGGGACGTGCTGTAAAGTTAAGAGAATTTATTCTTCTTTTCAGATTAGAAAAAGTGTATAATCTTGTGAAGGAAGGCTTGCCCAAGAAGCCAGATGGACAATCAGGTGTGCGGGGCGCTTTGGACTGGGCCGGCCCCTAACCCAGCCCTGGCTCCGGGAGGCCTGCTTTGCGGGGGCTTGTCAGGGCTCGGGCCGGAGGGGGCTGTGTGGCTCTCATCACTGGGTGTCCTTTCTGTGCCTTCCTCCCCCTTCCCCACAGACCTCAGCTTAAGGCTTGGCCTCGGGCACTGAGGGCTTCTGAACTCTGGGGCTGTGCTGGGGTGCAGGCCTTCCTGGGTCGGCAGAAGGTGGCGGTGGGACAGGAGGAACTGGCAGGGACTCAGCAGTAACCCGTCCTGGTTTGAATCTCCCAACGTGGGATTCTGATTTTCCCCACTTCTGTCTCTTTCCTCGTGGCGGGGGGAGCTCCATCCCTCCCGGGTCCGGTGGGGGTGAAAGGCAGGACCGCGGCGTGCTTCGGCCCTGGCTGGCCGGCGCTGTTCCCGGGCCCTTCCTCTGGGGAGCAGGGTGCCCCCCGTCGGGCTGGCGGGGGTTGTCGGGGGTGGGGGGGCAAAGGGCCCTTCTCTGCGCTGTCCCTGAGCCCTCCAGAGCAGCGCTCCTCTCCCCACAGGGCCTGCTGCGCTGCTCTCTGGGGACCAGCGGGTCCAGGCGGCCAAAAGCAAGGCCCAGCAGAACCACGCACTGCTGGAACGCGAGCTGCAGCGGAGGAAGGAGCAGATGCGGGCGGCCGCGGTCCTGCCCGGCGTGCGGATCAAGGAGGAGCCCATGAGTGAGGGAGAGGACGAGGAAGATCAAGACGCAGAGGAAGACGAGGAGCCCATGGACACCTCTCTCGGGGGCGGCCTCCACGACAGGCTGGCCAACGGGTTGCCTAGCGGGCGGGCGGCCGGCGGGGACAGCTTCAATGGGCACCCGCTGCCAGGCTGTGCCAGCACCCCCGTGGCCCGGGAACTGAGGGCCTTCGTGGAGGCCACCTTCCAGAGACAGTTCGTGCTCACGCTGAGTGAACTCAAGCGCCTCTTCAACCTGCACCTGGCCAGCCTGCCCCCCGGCCACACGCTGTTCAGCGGCATCTCGGACCGCATGCTGCAGGACACGGTGTTGGCCGCCGGCTGCAAGCAGATACTGGTGCCTGTAAGTAGAGCCGCGCCTCCGGACGGGCGTACCCGCGAGGCCACCCTCTGCCCCTCGGGGGGCTCCTGGCGGGCAGCCCCTTTCCTGGCGGAAGAGCAACAAGCGGGGTCCCTCTGGAGTGGCCTGTGCCCCGCTTGCTTTGGGGGAACCAGCTGTTTGGAGGCTGCGTGGGAACTCGGGAGGAGTGTTGACCTTGGTCTGAATCTTGGCCCTCGGGGGGCGGCTCTGTATGACCTTGGGCCTCTCGGGCTCTGCCTCCTCGTCTCACGTGGGCAGTTGCTGGCTGTGGTCCCTAGGACTTGGGTAAGGGCCCCCGGAGATGTCCGAAGGCGCTCACCCGTAGCTTGGCCTACGGCAGGGCCTTGGTCAGTGCAGGGCCCTGTCAGCCCTGCCGTTTCTCAGGCTGAGTTAGTTTCTGTCATCGATTGGTCTTTGCGATGTGCAGGTGTAGAGACTGACCTTCAAAGACGTGAAATGAGCTTATGTAAAGGTATACCCAGGAGGTGCCAGAGCTGGAACCGGAGCCTCAGCATAGTGGCTGCGGGGGCTGAAATCTTTTCTGCGTTACCTGAGACGCGCTGCCCCTTTGACCCGAGCCCACACGGCTCGTGCCCCGCCTCTGGCAGGCCTCCCCGGGGCTAGAGATTAGCTGACCGGCGTGCTCGGCATTTCTGCTGCGGGGCCTGAGGGTGGCAGCGCGAGCCACCCAAGCCCGGGCCTCTGGTCCCGGCATCGGCAGGGGCGCTGGAATGGAAGCCACCCGCAGCAGCTGAGGGTGGAGAGGGCCAGGCTGGGGCTTGCGGAAGTGGTGCTGCTCATTCTCTCCCCCCAGGCCCCGCCCAGACCTGGCAGCAAACAGGTCTGGGGTGGGGCTGCGGCTGCCTCTTAAGGGAGCCTCAACGTTTGCAGTCCAAGGTCAGAAGCACCTGCAGCCTTGGGTGATCTGAGGCGAGGGCCATCTTTGTGTATGTGAGACACAGAAACTAGGACGAGAGGCCCTGGATCCCGTGCTGGCTAGGCTGTCCCAGGAGATCTGGCCCTCGTGGCAGAGAGCCTCCTTGGTGCGGTTTCCTATGAAAGGTACCAGGGCTTGGGGGCCCTGCCCTATTTGGAGCCACCCTTGCCCGCCCAGCAAGTGGGTCTAGTTAGTCTAGTTAGCTCCAGGCTCCCCCTTCTCGGAGCTGGGCCAGGCAGGGGAGGGGGCGCCTGCCCAGGGTTAGCTAGGCCGTCTTGGGCTGCTGGGGTGGATGGGAGAGTGGTGTGAAGTAGGCTGCTCTCAGGCACCCTTGCCCTGCTCCTTCCCTTTGGTGGGGCTGGTGTCCCTGGGAGACCATGGCCCCTCTCTGCTGCTCCCGTTGACTTCGCTCTCCCTGATCCTGATGTAGGGACCAGACAGAATGCTCCTCTCTGTGGAGGAAAAGACCTCCGATGTGTCCGGCCTCAGGGTGCTGAGGTCCAGGGAGAGTGAGTAGACTCACGGACTTGAGTTTAACCCTGGTTCTGCTATGTATTAGATGTGCGACCCAGACACTGAGTAAACTCTGAGCTGGATTCTCCCCCTGCAGAGTGGGAGGCTGCAGCACCTTGCCCCTGCCTCTCTGGTTTCTGATGATCAAATGAGATTGTATGGTTCTAGTCCCCCAGGGGCTTTATGTGGTAGGAGCTCCCACTGTTGCTTGTGTTGTGGGGTCAAGGCTGGAAACCGCTCTACCAGGTGCCCTGAGCCTGGCCCCCTTCTCTTGGTCCACCTTCGGACACTGCTGAACCAAGTGGTGTGGGTTGCTTGGGAGTCGGGCAGGGCCTCTCACCTGTACCGACGCAGCCCCTGAGGGAAGGGGTTGGAAGGAATCCCCAGGATACTCCCAAGGCAGTATGGGGGTGGGAGTGCCGCTCAGGACACATCTGAGGGCTTATGTTTAGGGTAGGGTGATATTGGCTGTTAGAGGGGAGCTGATGCCAAGCTGTAAGGAGGAGCAGAAAACAGATTTCCCTCCTTGTCCAGTGAATCGGGGGGCTTCGGGCTGGGCGGGTCCTGCTCCATCCCACTGAAGCCCTAGGGAGTGGCAGGAGCTGGAATTGGAACCCCTGGTCTCACATGGGCTCACTCCCTGAATGGGACTCATGCACACTGGGGGGGTGGGGGGGGCGGCAAGGTGGCCCCGTGTGGGAAAGACCGACAACTCACACCCAGGCCTTGCTTAGTTTCCCCCCCAGACCGCTGCGTCCCCAGATGAGCAGAAGGTGTTCGCCCTCTGGGAGTCTGGAGACATGAGCGATCAGGTAAGGTGATCTCTTCTGCTGTCTCCCCAAGAGCAGGGAGGTGGGGTGAGGCCTTTAGGGAGACCCAGAGCACAGAATGTACGCTTCAGGTTTTCCAGCCACTCCCAATTTTAGATATTCTGGCTCCGTGTCTCTGTGTGTTGCTAAAACAAGCTGGATGGGCCCGTCCTTTGAGCCGAAACCAGTGGTTCCTGATTGTCAGTCTAGACGAGCTGCATTAGAATCCTCTTAAAAAATATATGTAGGCTCCTAGCAGTGACGCCAGAGATTTAGTTCAGCTCTGTAGGAGCTAGGTGTTTCCATGTTTACAGATTTTTTTTTTTTTTTTTTAAGATTTTACTTGAGAGAGAGCGAGAGAGCACAAGCAGGGGGAGGGGCAGAGGCAGAGGGAGAAGCAGGCTCCCCGCTGAGCAGGGAGCCCAACGTAGGACTCGATCCCAGGACCCCGGGCAGATGCCTCACCAACTGAGCCACCTTCCAGAGGATTCTGCCATCCAGCCGGGCTCAGGAACCAGTGACGGTCCACATTTCTCAGGTGGCCTCTGGCAGTAAGAATTAAAAGGAGTTCTTACCAGATCTCGGGTGCTGGTTTCTAAGAGAAATTGGTCCATTTTGCCTCCTCTCACACCCAGGCAAGAAGGGTGCCGAGTGTCCCGTGAACACAATAGCAGGAGTTAACAGCACCAGTGTCTTGTCTAGTATGCTCATGGACCCTGAGGTCCAGAATTTTCCTTAAATCATGAACTTGCCTGAACATTAAGAATGAAGATTAAACTGCTGAAATACTAGTCTGTCCTTTCCCAGGTCCTATCCCTAAGGTGTGGGGAGCGTCCCCCTTTGGCCTCGGTAGGGGCCCCAGTGCGAGAGCAGTCCTGAGCTAGCTAGCCTGCGTGGTCTTGGCTAGAAGATGTGGCATCGGAGTTTTCTAGTCCTGACAGAATAGGAAATTCAAAGAATTTGACAATTACTTTTTTCTTTTAATGATCAGATTCAAATAAGGGCTATTTTTAAAAATATACATGATAAAGCTTTCCGGCCCTGTCTTCACACAGCTTAGATGGTACCTTTCCCTGCCTCCTAATTACCATGAAACACCAAGTCTAAACTGCTTTTCCTCTGCCGGCACACCCCTGGCTTTTCTCTTCTTGGAGTGTCGGGATGACCGATTGATTGGTCAGATGTATTCATCTTTAAACAAGTCCCGGGTGCACACAGACTGCAGTGTGGAGTTAGGTCCATAGCTTTGGATTTCTTGTTCGGGGTTCTCTTTTAGGTGACTGTTTTCCACAATAACATATTTTTGCTCCTAAAGCACCGACAGGTTTTGCTTGAAATCTTTTCTAAAAATTACCGGGTACGCCGGAACATGATCCAGTCACGGCTGACTCAAGAGTGCGGAGAGGATCTGAGTAAACAGGAGGTGGATAAAGTGCTAAAGGTACACCTGCTTTGTGTTGTCAGGCTCCTCCCCATGTCAGGTGGAGGGCCGCAGTGTGTTTCTTAAATCCGGCCCCCTCCCCAGCCAGGGGGTCTCCACCTGATGATGGTGGGTGCGGGCAGAAGGACTGAACTGAGGTGTGGACGCCACCTTCAAAAAATAGTCTGGTGCGTCATCCCTTGAGGTGACCGGGCCTGAGAGTCCCGGCTCCCCTCCCCTTTTGAATCTTATACCGCTTGATTTCAGTAGAATCAATTTTTAAGTTAAATTTAGTTTAAAAAGGAATATTTGTCTAGTATATGAAAGTACCTAAGTATCCTACTTATAATGCTTTTATGAATTGACTGGTACAGAACACCGTATTTGCAAAAACCCTGAAACACGGAAAGCTGCTGACTGTCTCCTTGCATCGTGATGACCTCAGACATCCGAGGCCATAACCTGGTGCCATTTATGAGGCACCTTTGTTCTGGGTCCACTTACGGACAGTTTTATTTTTAATCTTGTGCTTACAAAGCACATTCATTCCTGGTTCCTCCTTTTTCAGAGCTCCTGAGGCCCAAACAAACATCGCTACCGCAGCACTGTGATAGGGCAGATCTTGGTTTCCCATTTGTGCTCTATCCGTTAATCAGACACTGGGTCGTGGCGTTCCGTACAGGACGCGTAGAGTCTGCCCTTAACACGCTCCTCTCTCCTCCCAGGACTGCTGTGTAAGCTATGGCGGCATGTGGTACCTTAAAGGGACGGTGCAGTCTTGACAGTAGTCACAGACCACTAACCCAGAGAATCCAAGCCCAAGGAAGGACGGCGGAGCCGGCAGACGTGGCAGTGGTCTCGCGGCTTCGGAAGACCCGGAGCAAGAGGAACTGACCGTGCCGCGGCGGGGGCGGGGTGCTGTCTGGCGGCCAGCGGGGATCTTCCTCCGCCAGGGGCAGGGTCAGCTGAAGTTCGATCGCTCCCGGGACGGAGGGCAGCCGGGACCTTCATTACAGTATAATTTGAAATTCCTGATGTATTTTGCTTATTATTTGGTTCATTCTCGTAATAAAGAGAGTGTATACTGACCACAGGCAGGCTGATGAAAATCATGGTTTAATATTTTGCTTTTCAAACTTCATGCCAACAAGGTCTAAGTTATGTTTACAAGATGAAGAAAACCTCAAGGTTTTAAATATTTAAAATGCCTAGAAGCCAGTATTTAGTCCTCAATTACCTATCTGCTAAGACTTCTGCCAATTTCATTAAACAGACCAAATCGAATTGTTTCACTGCTGGGTTTCTGTGGCCACCTTACCTTTTAAGTCCATTTTATGTAGCAGTTTCAGCTGTTTACATGAACCCTAGCAAAAAATCAGAATCAAATCCATTTATTAACGTTTGCATAAGGGTGCAAACCAAACCAGGTAAGTATGGAACAATGTATAAGTGAGGTTATCACACTTTGATGTAAAAAATTTATATTTTGTGTATTTTTAAAATAAATACTAACACTAACCTGGCATCATGGCGCTACTGTCTTCTAAGGGCTCCAGGAAGGCAGTGTTGTGTGTGCTCTCAGCCTCGCATGTCATCAGGGAAGGGAGCCGCCGGACGGAGGGAGAACTTAGCGCAGCCTGGCAGAACGGTGCAGTCATCTGTGTCGTTTATTGAGATTGTAAAAAGAAACTGGTAAAAGTATTATTTAGCCTAATATAATAGCTAAAACAACAACATATAATAAAAAAATGTTAGTATAAAAAAATGTAAAATACTCAGTTTTCAAGATCTGGTACTTTATACTTAGGACACTTGCAATTTGGACCAGCCACAGTGTAAGCGCTCATTTGGGACATGTAGCTAATGGCGACCTTGGTGGATCGTGCAGCCCTAGAGGATTAGGGAAAATAAAATTAGAGTAAGTTGGGGTGGGCAAGATGTGAAATTCTGCTCCCTCAGGCGTTTTCCACGATCTGGTTTGGGCACTTAGAGCCACTGTCTGAAGGTTTAGGTGAGGGCGTGTGCATGCCCCACCACCAAAAAGAAAAACATCTAATATTTGGTAATCTAGTTCAACAGGATGGTGGTATATTATGTTCTTGGTACTAATTGTTAACAAACATGAGCCTGAAAAGAGTAAAAAAATTTCTGAAGTTGATTGAGAGTTTTGTTCAGCTCTTGTATGAGCCCCTTAGAAAGGGGAGACTCGTCACGGTGTGAAGCTGAGATGGAGAGTGACCACAGGGAATTATGGGGCTCGTGGGGAGTCATAGCCTGAAACACACTGATAAGGACGGAGGAGTTAAACGCTAAATTCAAATAGTAAAGTAAATAAACTTAAGGAATATAGGAAAGAGTTGTTAAAAACAAGGTGTAAAAATTAATGTAAGGTATACCAACCGATGAAGGAAAATGACATAAGCCTTAAAACTGGTTGGAAAGAAAATTACAACAGACCAGTTATTAGAGAAGAAAAGGTCCAGGTATTTTCATGGTTGAACTATGATCACATCTTTATGACAAATGCAAGGGTTAAACTTCAGCATGTAATGAGCCTCCAAATAGGTTCTGAAGTATTGATTTAAAACCTGACAAAGCATGATAGGAATTAAAATCCTTAGTAGTAGACTGCAGTAGCATGTTAAAAAAATAACCACCCTAAGATGTCTTGCAAAGGGTGAGGATATTGGGAATAACTTACTGTCACAGAAATGCAGGGGTGGTGAGGCGCCTGGGTGGCTCAGTCGTTAAAAAGCGTCTGCCTTCAGCTCAGGTCATGGTCCCGGGGTCCTGGGATCAAGCCCCGCATCAGGCTCCCTGCTCCGCGGGGAGTCTGCTTCTCCCTCTCCCACTCCCCCTGCTTGTGTTCCCTCGCTCACTGTGTCTCTCTCTGTCAAATAAAATATTAAAATCTTTAAAAAAAAAAAAAAGAAATGCACGGGTGGTGTCAGGGCATGTCTACAATGCAGCTCATACCAAGAATAAGCTAAATGAGAAGGGGGAAAAATCATCTCTGGGATTGAGATCTACAATTCATTTCAGATATAAGTTCTTAAAATAGGAGTAGGTGGATTCTCATTAACCTCATTAAAATGGTAAAAAGTTAACCTGCTAAATCAAACACTTCACATACTCCTTAGGATTGAGATACAGGTTTACTCACCATAGTTAATATCCTGGGTATACTACTTAGAGCAATTAGGCAAAGGATTAAGTTAAAATTAAACATTTAGACAAATGAGTTTTGTCTAACAAAACAGACAAAAAGTCAAAACTTTCAGGTTGCCTGGCTGGTTTGGTGGAGCATGTGACTCAATCTCGGGTTTTGAGTTCAAGCCCCATGTTGGGTATGGAGATTACTTAAAAACAAAACTTTTTTTTCAGCTATGTCAACAGAATCAACTAAAAGCTACTCCGAAAAACATTCAACAAAATAACTGAAGTCAGTAGCTTTCCTATATGCAACTACGGTTAGAAAATACAACAGAGGTGGGGTGGCCTGGCTGGCTCAGTTGGAAGAGCATTCAACTCTTGATCTTCGAGTCATAAGTTCAAGCCCCACAGTGGGTATAGAGACCTGGGTGGCTCAGTTGGTTAAGCGTCTGCCTTCTGCTCAGGTCACGATCCCAGGGTCCTGGGGTGGAACCCCGAGTTGGGGGGGGGTCCTTGCTCAGCAGGGAGTCTGCTTCTCCCCTGCTTGTGTGTGCACTCTCAAATAAAATCTTAAAAATGATAACACATACATATACAGATTATATATATATATGTGTGTGTATATGTATGTTTTAACAGAAGGAAAGAATACTCAGGAGGTGAACCTTCTAAAATCTATAGGACCTAAGTGATAAAAATTTGAAAACCGAGACACAAAGACCACTGGAACAAATGGGAAGGCATAAACCCATGTTTTTGGATCGAAGTCTCTGTGTTATAGTCTGTACTTGGTTAAATTACATTTTTAAACTTAATCCCAATAACCATTTACCTCCAAGAACCAGACAAGCTAACTTTAAAGTTCATATAGGAAAAAACGGGGGGAAAAAAAAAGCCAGGGAAATTCTGAAGGAGCAATGAGGGCAATAGTCTTTTAACAGGAAAATATCAAGCTATAACAGCAATTAAAAACTGCCATAGATGCATAAAAACTAAATCCTAGAACAGAAACAGGTTCAAATTCATGTGGAAATTTAGAACTGATTCAGGTGATTTCAAGTGATGAGGAATAGGTGAAGTTGAGGAAGATTCTGGAAAGATGGTGGAATGAGAAGCACCAGAAATCTCTCCTGACCTCGACACCAATTGCACAGGCAGAATTTGTCTGACGCAACCATTTTAGAACTCCAGAGCCTGTAACTTCCAGGGAGAGCCAGGACTGTCCCTTGCCGGCAGTTTGGGCCCACTCTGGCCCCTAGCACAGTAGCAAGTACCCCACCACTAGCCATATTCGTGGAGCAGCTTGCAACAGCTTGCAGGAACCTGGGTGGGCAAAAAGACTCTTGAAAGATCAGAGATCTGTTCTGATTGCTGCTGCTGGCCACAGGTGCAGGGGTGGGAAGCCGGTGTCACGCCTCCCCCCACTGTTGCAAGTTTCTCCAGCTGAGGCTGAAGGGACTGCCAGGGGATTTAAAAGACTGCCATGCTCCCCTCCCCACCCCATTCATTCTTCACTTTTTGCCCTTTGGGGAGACATTAAAAACTAGGATATTTTAAAAAATTGATCGCATATACAGAGAAAACTAGAAAGCGACTATGCATGCCCAGGGAAAGGCTCAGAAAAGACCTGAGAAGACCTTAGGTTTACACCTCAGGCTAATCCTCAGCACAGACACAGCCTGCAACAATTTAAGGAACAAAAACAACCAATAAAACCAGCACAACTTGGAAAAGGGTGAGAATCTGACTCCCAGAGTTACCACATTATCAGATTCAAATGCCTGCTGTTGAAAAAATCACAAGGCATACAAAACCAGGAAAATATGGGGCACTCAAAGGAAAAAAACAGAAACTGTCCCTGAAAGGCCTAGTGGCAGATATAGTAGACAAAGACCTTAAGACAATGTGTTTTAAAGACCTCAAAAGAACAAGAGGATGTAGACAGTCAAGAAAATGTGTGAACAAAATGGAAGTGATAGAACTAAAGAGAAAACCACAGTAATTCTGGGACTGAAAAGCACAGTAATGGAAATGAAAAATTCACTAGAGGGATTCAAAGGCAGATTTGAGCAAGTAGAAGGAAGAATCAGCAAACTTGAAGATAAGATGATAGAAATTACTCCATCTGATGGGGCGCCTGGGTGGCTCAGTCATTAAGCATCTGCCTTCGGCTCAGGTCATGATCCCAGGGTCCTGGGATTGAGCCCCACGTC